ACACAATGCTTGTTAAAGAGACTTGATATACTATCTGGGCTCCCTGTGGTCGCTCCCGTACATATATTGAACGAATTTTGTGTATTGACAATATTACACTGGGACTGTTGATAGTGAATTGGGGGATTATCTTCAATGTGTATACATAACAGTGGATTCTCTGAATATTCGCCGTTCACCTTGAGAGTCGAACAGTTCTAGTTTATCAAAGTACTTTTATACATTGGAGGAAACATTACTTTGTACAGTACAGCTGTGGTGAGGTTTTAACCTGGGTCAGGGACGAACCTGACAAGTCATATATATAGCACGAGTTTTCATGGACATTACCAGTGGTTAAGGTTGCATGGCGGTCTGTATTCATAAAAGGAAAAAAGGTGTTTACAGAACAATGTGAAATAGCTCCGAAAAGAAGTGACACGTGACAATATCAGGTTCAACACAAATATTCCTGAGGGAAAAGGACACTATCGTAGGAAAGTCGATGTTGTTAGTGCATAAATGGGAGTTTGAACTCGGACACCATGAATTTAGATACCGACATCATTAACAAAGGTTGTGTAGAGAATACGCAGAATGAGGCCATGGAAAATGAGGACATTCTATGTGAAACGACCGAAGAAGCGTCTAGCAATGCAGTCGCACGTACTGATGGGCATGAACATCCACGAAATGAGGAAACAGATGATACTTCATATGGTAATATCGACCGACACACAGCCGAAGTGTGCGGAACAGCATCAAAGCCAAATTTTGACTTCACTCATGAACTAGGTAAACTTTCCGCTTTCGTACTTGACGATAATGAATATATCAGCGAAGAGGTATTATATCTAGAATCTGCCCCTGACCTGTCAGAGTTTTGTGGAAAGACAACCAGTGAAGATCTAGATGATTCAGATGATAGTCTAGCAACGGGAAGTAAACCTACCATCTCTGATGCTTGCTCTAGTGGTGACATTATTAACGAGGTGCATGGAACGGTCTTTGAGCTCGAGGACTCCGATGATTATACTGAAACTGTCGAAGTCATGACTCTTTCAGAATTTATAGGTTGTACAGATATTGAAGAAAATGCAAAACATCTTTTAGACCCTAAAGCAAAAAAGCAATGGACAGAGAATATATCATATATGCGCAAAAGTGATGATTCAATTCCAAATGGAAATGTTAGCAGTGGTGAAGATACGCCTGTCACTGGTGCGACTGGCATCCAGACAATAACACGCAAAGATTCTGAGACGGACAATGTTGTTGTGATAATAAGACCTCGAAGTGACTCACTCTTAGAATCAAAACATAGACGTAATGTTCAACTTGATGCTTTCAGTTACCAAAGTATGCCAGCTCAACATTCCAGAACAGCATCATCAAATAGCTCGTCTGAGAACACTGATATGTCAGAACGGAGTTTTATGTTTCCTCCCAGAACACATTCTGACAACAGAAATTGTGCTAATAGATATAATGATACACCGATTCAAGATTCACATTTGAACGAAACAGACTCCATAGCAACAGAACTGGGTGAAAATCGTCCCACGTTGTCAAACAAATCTGCCTTAAATGAACAAAAAGTTTCAGAAACAGGTGTCAGACACAAAAGATGGGTACGACACAATTCTGCTGACACAACTACAGACACATCATATCCTTTCACCCTTTTGGACGACGTTACGCAAACAGAAAAATCCGTTGAAAAGGTTGATTTGGACGATATAGACCCTGAATGGGACGACGAGGATAAACTTATTTGGGAATTGTTAAGTTCAATGAAATCAGTCACAAAACGTTCAGATGATCATGATAAACTGAATGTTTCTGAAAGTTCGAGTATGACGAAGGAATCTAATGATAATGACACTTATGACGATGAACACATCAGTTCAACCAGCTCTGAAATGATGTATTCTAGTCTAGATACCATCAGTGAGAGGGAAAGGGAAAGAGTGATTTCGGAAAAATTACAGAAGCGACAGGCAGGGGGTATGACGTGTATAACATTCCTATCTCCGGGCTGCAAGGGACAGACAGCAACTTTTACTCCAATACAATGTAAAGAACCATTAAAGCTAGACGCCAAGGGATTTTTTCAGAAAGGATTCGAATCCTCCCGAAAGGATGTATCAAAACAGGATAAGGACACAGAACGGACTAATTACTGTACTCTAAGTTCTTCTAAACTTCATTCACCAAGACTCTTTATTCCTCGGTAAAATATTGTTTAATTTTAAACATATGGATGATACGGATTAAATGGTATCCAAATGATAAAATATTCTTTACAAGGTAAGCACAACGCGATGGTATTGACCATTGATGATAGGGTATTGTGCTTTGTTCCAATTATAACCTGTCAATCTATAGGCCAAGTTAAACAGTTAAACAATAAAAATATCGACATTGTTTGTCTTCTTTATCATGATATTGAAACGTAATTTCCTGCATCGATATCAACGCATTCATTTTTTTTTAAATTAATTCCAAAATGGATCGCTGATGGTTATCCTCCTTATGTCAAACAAGTAAATACTTTATTTTGATTTTAAGTTTTCTTAAAGTAAGGACAGGTATGTCTACATAAAATTGGTGATACTTGTGGAGCGTTCTGTGTTAAGTTTTAATATTTATTCATTGCCTGAGCGTGACCGTAAAGAAATCGTTAATACGTATGTTAATGCATATGTTATGTCATTTAAACGCAGTGTTAAGTTATACAGTTCTTCGAGTTTCAAATAAATAACAATACGGATTTTCTATTTGTTACATTCCATCAATATTGCATATATGTAGATTGATGAACAATTTTACTGTATGTTTACAACATAGTTTTCATTTAATGAGTATTCTGAAAATCATTAGCGTTGTTAGTTTAAATATCTTAAAATTCTAGGATCCTTGCAAAAACCAACTACCAACTACTAACACGTTATATGATATTGTATTATGTTTACGTACAAAACAAGTACACAGGCCTTTATAACACAAATATAAAAGATTAATCAATCAATAGACATGTCATATATTAATTAGTGGATCATGTTTTAACACCAGGTATCAGATCTGATTTTGTTTACACTTTTTAATGACTCCGACGTTACGTCATAAAGACAACAAAATACTGATATCAATGCTTCTGTCCGCCGTCTGTGTTACCTAGATCGTAACATTGAACTAACTTGTTATACCTCTTATTTACTTGTTAAAGTTGTCTTTAACTATGCGAGCAGATAAGTCATTAATTATTTGTAAAAAAGACACCAAAGAAAATAGAGCCTTATAATGAATTGAATCCAAGTATATTTCACTCATCATCAAGCAACACGTTTATTCAACATGAAGCCTGCTTTCAAATCACAAATAGTTTTCAAAGCGCAACGTCGCGGTACATTCAGTTTAGTTGCCATTTAAAGTCATGTAGTGAAATTTACAACCATTTTATTATTGAACCAGGGCTGTAGACCGCTTTACTCCAAATAGGTTATAAATCAATGGTCGACCTGGAAGGCAGTTCGGTTGTGCCTGGGCCGTGCGCTAATACCACATCGTATAATGTATTGATCTAACCAAACTCAACATAATATATTTTGAAGCAGACAAGATGGCCGCTCATTTTAGTTGTTATCGTCAAATGACTTTCCTCTTAACGTAACACTGTTAGGATGGTAAATCTTCCAAATATGGATGGTGAAAGTTAACTGTTTGACCTTCTTTGGACAAGGATGTAGATAGATGAGTTAACTGTTCCGGACCCGAACAATTAAGGACAACATACCTGGATACCTGGTAACTGGTATCGGCCTCCAGGGTCAGGAGAAGGCAGACATACATGAGTTACAACCAATTGAAAAAAGTGCAATAATGGAGCTTTATTACATCTGTATCAGACCTTTCACGTAGGACAGGGATCACTGAAAGTTATCATGGTGTTTGCAAGGAAAATCAACCCCGAGGATGCCATCAACATTTATCGTGTTCACATTCCGCACACACAACCTGCACAGCTTCACTTATCACAAGGTATAACTATGTCTGGTCTGTTTGACACTATCAGCAAGTAATTGATGTCTTTGATGTCGTTGGCGTCATAGCAGATAGTTTTACAGTTTGGGTTTTGTCATGTGATTATTAAAATCTAGACATCAACACTTTTGGTAATGTATGCTACGCTGGTCAAAGATTGTTTTCGTTAATGAATTATATTGCGTTACTTATAAACAAATAATTGTTTATTTAACATAAACTGTGTGTCCTACAGATAGCAATGGTAAACAAATCTTTTTCTACTCTTTCCGTTAAGACAATATACAAATATGGTATTGTTAGTTAAAAATCGATATCTATAAATAGGTTTATGATGTCATTTGAATGGAAGTGTGCAAAACGAATGAATGGTGTTGTAACGAACCTACATAACAGTCGACCATGCATGTCTTTCTCTAACACCTATTTTCAATGAAGGAATGCTTTATTAGAGATTTTGAGTATCAATCTGATTATGACGTCAGTAATAAATTCAGCTATGTGCAACGCTGACGTCAATTGGACACAACAGAATATAAATTCATGCTAGAATCCTATGTGCAAGTGTTATATATTGATCGATAATGCAAGAAAATTTCTCCAAATTCAAGTTCGTTTTATTAAAGAGCATTCCTGTCCAACATCCGTTTTGAAAAATAAATATATCTTGGTTCTTAACTGTATGATGAGTTTATACTTTGGTCTGTAGAAGAATTCACGTTAGGGGTGATATTTGTCTCTACCTTTCTTTAATAATTCCACATTATTCCGAATGTTATTTGCAGTCTGGTTTTAGACTTTATTTGGCAAATTCGATAGTGGATATCTATTGGTTTGAAAAGCAAATATTACTGCAGAATCGATTCAATAATTGAATGGTTTGCTTAGATATCTTGGGATTGTCCTGCATTGGGTCTGGACATTCACATGTTTCACACTTTTTTATTTGATTATTGATTATATTAATATATTTTCAGATGCCACCACACAAAGTCCATTCGCAATGTCTTCCACTCAACTCATATTGCCCAAACTGAGTCTCATTAGTAAATCAGCGTCTTTCTGTGACTCGGCCAACAACAAGTATGGATATAAGAATAGTACATCGGACGAAGCAGAAACAACGGATTCCGATGATGATTTGGTATGTTCTGCTAAAATGAAGACTAAGGTCCTTCAGGAAATCACACTGGGTTCATCCTTACATATTACAATAATGAGATTTAGGATTTTCTTATCATTATTTTGGAGTAAATGCATCTCCCTGTATAGTTGAAGCTCTTTTTCGGCGTGGTTAGTTTTCCTCAGTCGCCTACAAGGTTTCACGATTTAGTCTCATAGCACCACTGACGAATCCTGGAAAGATGTAGTCCTATGATGATTTAATTCATTATTCGGCTTTATTGAATCACACTCTAGATGTATATTGAAAGGGGGGTAATCGTGTACGTCATGTGCAACCTTTACAGACAATTACGTTGTATCTTTAGAAAATTCACGGAAATGTTATGCTTCCTTCATTTGATATATAGTTATAACTTAATTGAAAAAAGAGAAATAAGAAAAAAAAAAGAAACTGCGATGATATCTAATACATGATTAAAATTATTTTCAGATGTTAGATGAGAAGATGGATTCTGGGAGTTCTTCAAGCCTGTCAGATTCTTTGAATAATGCTCTCGAAATGCTGAACAGCTCAAGGCTTGAAGACGCCGAGAAACAACTTCTAAAACTATACCAACAGATGCAAGAGAAACCAGAAGACAATACTAAAATATTAGTACAGGTCTTGAATGGACTTGCTGATGTATGTATCCGGCGAAGTAGAATGTGCAGATCAAACCCGATGGAGTGGCAATGGTTATGCATGCATGCCATTTCCTTGCTCCAGTACAACTGTGACGTATGCGGCTCCGAACTGGAGGAAAACCTTGACAATCAAGACATAGAATGGTACACAGAGCACAAACAAGCAGCAGAAATAAAATGTCGTCCGTTAGAAGACAGTTTTAACAGAGCACTGTATAATTGTCTAAAACACGAGGGCAGGAAATTCATGGACCCTTTTCGGTCGTTTTCGTTCCCGAACACTCCAAGCACACCATCTCTTGGAATGTTTCCACTCTCCTCAGGCAATTGTTTTAGTCTGTATCCAAGTATGCACGACAGACTGACAGGGAAAACTGACAACCAAGCTAGCGTGGATGATATGAATGTTGGTCTGGATTGGCTAACAAAGTTTCTGGAATACTGTCACGACCGAATTCAATCCAAGAATCTTGGAGACATTTTCAACAGACTTTTCAAACGAAAAACTTCATCGTCACTTAAGGAGAACAATGATGACACTGCTAGCATAATGTCCGAGAGTTCGTGTAGTTCTCTGGACTGGGACCACGGTGATTTGCAGGGAATTGATGAAATTGATCCAAATTCCAAAGACTCGCCCGTGGCAGTGGTAGATAACGCATTCGGTTTCGAATTAGCTTCAAGTGATGTTGATGAAGATGGTTGGGATTTTTTTCTGAATGATAGGAAACACTGCAAATTTCAGAGTGTAGTTCAAGTGTCTGGAAATGGCAAAGGGAGAAAGGAGGGCATACAGAATCAGAATCTGCTAGACGTCAGCGCTTCGGACAACAAGTACAAGGACAAGGAAATTATATCTCCTCTTCATGAGCACAGCATAAAGCTCACTTTAGCGAAATCCTACACACGACTTGCAGAGAAGCTGATGCTAGAGGAGGAGTATAGGAAAGTTGAAGTCTTGTTGGAACAAGTGATGGGAATATTAGACGAGGTCATGGATGGAACAGCTGGTATGTTACGTTTTAGTGCAAAAGTTATGAAAAACTTGGGAACAGTAAAATCGAAACAAGGAAAGTCATCCGCCGGTTTGGCTCTTCTAAATCAAGCGCTAGAAACTTACCGTGATCTGCAAGATGAAGATTCTAATTTCGAAATAGCCACAGCCCTTCTTGAACTTGGAAACGGGTATGTGGTGGGTAAAAACAATGATGATGGTGTTTATGATGATGCAATATCTGCCATTCGGGAGTTCTTCGAAAAAGATTTTTCCGATAATGAAAGCTCTAATTCAAGCCCAAACAAGTCCGAGCCTTCATCTCCACAAAAAACTGCAGAAGAAGAACAGAACATTGAAGAAGCTGCCCATTGCTACAAGGAAGCCCTTTCCCTACTTCACTGTCGGGAAAGTGATGAAAAGGACAGGATAGTGGTAGCTAAGGCTACTATGAGGTTGGGAGATTGCTATTTCATGCAGAAAGACTATGATAGGGCACTGGATTGTTTTGAAAAGTCGCTTAGCTTGTTTCGTGATACCTCAACTCATGGAAGAGATTTTGTTTTAGAAAATGCTCATGTAATGTGTATGCTTGGTGTGTCGAGCTTTATGCTGCATATCTACCCAAGGGCGGCTACAGTGTTTGAACTAGCTCTCCATTTAGTCAAATATGCATCTGGTCTCGGTAGCACGTACATGCACGGACTTGTCATATCATTCATGGGAATCACATTTTACAAGATGAAAAATTACCACAGATGTGTTTCCATGTGCTATCAAGCGTTTGAATTATTCTGTAATATGCACGGCAGCAAACTGCCTCATTTACCAAGACAGAAGTTTTGGATGGTCTGCCAAGTACTGTATGTCATGGGCAACTCTTACAACATTATATCCCTTCACCAGAAAGCTATCAAATACCTGACGGTTGCGAGAACCTTGATGATGGCTTCCAAATTAAGGGACCGTAGACAATTCATGAGAGTATTGCAGATTCTTGGCGATTGCCATTTTGCACAGTATGATTATAAGACAGCTCTAGGCTACTACAATGAAGCCTTAGAATATGGAGAATGCGAGAGCCAGATTTCTTTCGATGAAGTGTTTGATCCAAACACGATGTCTGACGACATGACTATGCATAACCAGCTGATCAGTAAGTCTGCCGAAGCACACATCAGTATGCAGCAATACCAAAACGCTGTTCACTACTTGGAACAAGCCCACGACATGCAAGAGGTAATGGGCGAGGACATCAAAGGTGACCTGATCAGCACACTCTACCAACTAGGTCACATTCATTCCATGGCTGGGGATGTCGACAAAGCAATAGAATCATTTGCAGAGAGCTTGGAGGTGTATAGAGAAATACACAAAGGTGAACTTGGGCCAGAAATGTCTGTGACACTAGGAAATCTTGCAACTATGTGTTATGTTAAAGCATGTGTATGTGAGGACAATGAAGGTGAGCTCGAAATGATACTTGCTGCAGAACAGCATTTTCAAGACGCTCTTAAACTAGACCAGAACCCAAGCGTTTGTGTCAAGTACGGAAACTTCTTGTACAGCCAAGGGAATTATGATGATGCTGTTATGTACTTGGAAGACGCTCTCAAAATTGAGGACATTGATTTTGCGTCTGACCTAGTGTATGGAGGGCTTGACAAAGTCACATTACCAGACTGTCTACAGGACGAGGTTGACACACAGGAGGAGGTAGTCTTGCCTCCCTCTGCTCTTGCAAGGTATATTCTGATTCTCTCACACAAGAACCTCAACCAAATGGATCTGGCAGAAAAACATCTCTTTCTGCTCTTGTATGAAGCTCTTGAAACTGACATTCCCATATTGTACTCAGTTTTAGGGTATTCGATGATGGAAATGGGTCTGTTTGAGGAAGCAATCTGGAGTTTTGGTATGGCAATTTCTCTAGAGAATGAATACTCCCTCGCAATAGACAACTATTGTACGTGTTTATTGATCTGGGCAATGCGCACACTACAGCGGGCAATTGAGAACATTTGTTTGTACCATGGATTATCATGCTATGTGTATCTATACTGGTGATGCACTGTCGGTATTGATTTTCACATGGATCGACAATGCTTTATAAGCTTAAATATCATCGCAAATTCCTACTGGATTGTCCGTCTCCGACCAAATATTTGATCAATTCTGTAAATGGCAAATCACTGCAATGCTTTTCTGAGCAGTTTTAGACATGACTAGGCATATCATTAACCCTACTTGATGCAAGATGAAACTCTATTGTCTTAACATACAAAACCTTAAATAATTTTGTCTCATTTTTAAAGTCCTTCATTTCAAGAACATATTTTCAGTTTCAAGTTTTCAATTGTCGATAAATTACAAGGTAGTGAATTAGTCAGTAACACTTTGAAATCTATTTTTTTTTGACACATAGATCCCTTTACAACAACATTAAAAATCCAATGTTTAATTGGCTAAAATGAACACTGTAAGGCATAATTTATATGATACATTACTGGCTACTGCAATTAAGCCAAATGGTTTAATCCAGAGAATTTTTTGTATCTTGTTCTATTGTCTAAATTTTCCATAAAGCCAACTGTTCTCATTATTTATATATAACATCTTTCATTACCTGCTTGCTTGTTCGCCTTCACTTGCACTCTAGAGATCTAGTAACACTCTTTAAAGCCAGTAACTTACAATAGTGATACAAAAATTCATGGTGTATTTCTAATTTCAATGTGTTCTTTTTTGTTTGCCTAATACATTTGTAAATGTGGTTGAAATAATGTGGTCCCATTGCATTGGATAGAACGGTCAACAATTTTTAACTGCTTTTCATTAGTTTTCATGGTAACTTGTATTTTTCTGCTCAGATATACTGACAATACATATATATGTTATTAATCTTCTGCAGCAAACTTATTGTACTACAACTGCAATGACGGCAACATCTCAGCATATCACATTGTTTACAAGAGTGCCCTGTGCTATCATTTGAAGTGTTAAATACCAGCTGTATGCCATTTCTCTCAAAATGAAGGTCTTTATTGCCTTGTATTGATATGTGAACACTTATGATTTTGTCATGTTGTAAAGATTCTACTCTGATATGATGCCAGTATTATTTTGTTGATATTGTTTTATAATGGATATTTTTACATCAATCACAAGATTAATGTTTTAGTCAATAATATCACACTTATCATATATTTTACAAATGTACTACAGTAACCAACTTCAACAAAGCTTTAAAGAAAACAGTAGCTAAAGAAATGCAAGGTGTGGGGATGACTGTTTTCATTTTTTTCAGTAAGTCTAAAATATATGGTTAAGAACTGATTCTACATTGAATACAAATTTAATTAAATTCAAGAACTGATTCCCCACTGAATATGAATTTAATCAAATTCACCACTTGCCACGATTTTCACAACCACATGTATTATATATGACAGTGAAACACTTGAAAGACTTCAGATTTTTTGTGGAATACATGTCCATGCATTTGTACATATATGTATATGATAGATCTATAAATTAAATCATATTTGTTTGATTTTTAAATTCTCATTGCAAGGTGTTTTCCCATCAACATGAAGATACGTTAAGAAATGCTGTTCTTTATTTATTATGAAAAAAAGTTAAATTTTTTCAGTGTTTATTTAATGAAATCATAAAAGACACAAAAGGTATGTTAAACCTGTTCTGTCATAACAGATCTTAATTCCATATCTAGAAGTTATGCATGTGTGTAATATTTGACACCAAATGTAATTAAACGTGATAGATATTATATCTGGGTTATATATAACCCTGGCTGTATGTTCACAACTTTGTAAATGTTGGCCAAAGCGTTTTCCCCGTAATTGACTTAATTAGACTCATTATTCTAAGTAAGTGAAGTTAATCAAGACATAAATACCACAGCCACCCTCCCAAAAACAGGTAACATGTAGGAAATCATTTACTGGTGGTCAATCTAAAGAAGCTTGAGTCTAGATTTTAGAAAAAAGGATTATAAATTAATTGAGAGAGTCAAAATAAAATCAAATGTTTTAAATATCCTGAAAGAAAATTAAGGGAAAAGAACTTTAAGTCTTAATATATAGGAGGTCCTCATCCACTTGGATCCTCAGCTGAATATGATGTTTACATACAGTAGCTGTACATTTTTGCCATCTGTGATTAGCCATGTGATATTATGTAAAATTTTATTATCAAAATTAGTTATGTGACATGCATTTAAAAATTGTTCAATATTTGTTCTTCACATTACTTCAATGTCCTGCTTTTTTTACACTCAAAAGTACTTGTATCATATCAAACAAATTTGTTTTGGAGTTATGAAAAAAAAAAAAAAAAAAAATCACGTGTAGTTTTCAATTTCACATTATCATTTAATGCTCTACTTTTCAAAGATTACAAAGATTTGAACATTTAATACAAAGCCAGTACAATCTAATAAAAAAAATGAATAAAGTCTACAAAAATTTTTAAAATGAAAAATAATCAATAATGAAATAACATATGTAAATATATAAATGTACATGTATTTATGATTAGATATTTTATTACAATCTCTCAATTTTGATGTTGACTATGAAACTAATAGTACTGAAAAAACTATGAGAATGGTATATAACTTCATTTCCTAAATAGGTTTTATGAAATAGGCATGCTCTGAGTGTGATTCAAAGTTTTAAATAAAAGAATGCATGTAGTATGATATGCTAAATGAAACTTTAAAGATGATATAAATTGAACGTAAGAAGAGTTTGCTGAAATAAAGAGTAATCACATGAGATATAAGTATTGAATTGTGTTTATACATGTAAGTGTGTTCATGGACATCCTTTTAATATTGAAATTAGATCTTAGCAAACGCCATACAGTATGATGTTCAGATAAACAATTGATCAACTCATAGCTTAACAAATCATGGAAGTGCAAAAAAAGGTAGTTTGGGCTATCATGGAGCAAGGGAGATAATTATTTAATTTTCGTCTGATTGTCCTAATGGTAAAGTTGACTATGGTGAATGCACCACTTATAGTCATCTTCAAATTATCTCCAAAAAGGTACACATTTTAAAACATTTATCTGACATTTTGTCATGATGGCTTAACCATGAAAAACCACAATTAAAGTGTTAACAGATTAATTGACTGTCAAGTTAAAAGACATATGAGAAACAGAAGTTCAAAAACACTATTTACAAACAAATTTCTCATCACCTTGTTAATTAATGGGCTTATATTTGATTATCATATTGACATCAATCCATTTTCTTTGACAAGTTTTTGGGTCATATTATCATAGACCTCCAAATTTCATTTGTAGGTGGTAAGCTCATAAAAAGTTCCTCATTGTTGTAGTCAAGAAAACTACCTTCATTTTTCATACAAAATTTTGTTTCAATCTACTGCAAGAAAAACACCTTTATTAATTCAGTGTCATCATTAATACTGAATTATAGATGAGAAGAAGCCCAATTTTCTAAATATGTTTTAACAAGACAATTCATTCCAAAATATATGTCAAAGCTACATAGTTCTAATTATGTGAAACAAGAGTGCCGTGGACACAATATACGCCGCCACAAAATATAAAGATCAAGAAAAAACGTAAAATCACCACTTTCAGCACATCCATCCATTGTAGTAGTGACATTGAGCAAGTTTCGTTAAACTCTTATCACTAGTTTAGGAGGAGTTACATTCACAAGGCTCCACTATGAGCAAGCCTACAAATACAAAGTTGAAAATGGCATAAATCTTATAAAAATCAATGAACCAAACAATCGCCCCTTCATGCACATCTACCCATTGTAGTAGTCACATTGAGCAAGTTTCGTGAAAATCTGATGATTGGTGTGGGAGGAGTTGCGTTCACAAGAAATGGACGTAAGGACGGACAGACGGAGAAGATGATGCCAATATACGACCGCCTCCAACGGCGTATAAAAAGTATTCAATCATATTTTGTTTGGTAAATTTATTCAATTAAAAAAAAAAAAAAATGAAAGTGAAGTTGAATATATAACACAACTTTTTCATGTGTGGAAACAATGTGATTGTACAGATCTTTTGATTTTTTTGAATGCCACAACAATTAAAATACCGGTACATGGCGTGGAGGGACGGGGGCTTCAATTATACAAGGATACTGGTTTTCCTTCATGAAGCAGAGGGGATGATGAACCAAACTTCAGACTCATATGATTCAATGAGGTAAACTTGATCATCAATACTGTCATGGTTTTGCCTTATTTTTACTACCAACTTCACAACCATCTTTTCCAGGAACAAAGTCCACAATCTCTCCTGTAATTTTAGATAAAGCTGCAATATTTACATAATCTGAAACAAGAAACATGAAATATTTAATGATGAAATATTACTGGGGATATATTGTACGTAATATGATATAATATACCAGTATTTATAATTGCTTTCTCAGTCCTTCCAGCTGTCTATGTGTCTAGTAAAGCTTAAATACAATTCTTATAATCCAACTTTACACAAAGGAATACTGACACTGAATTCTACACTTGCTAAGATAATGTTAGAGGTGGGTTGTTCATACTTTCACGATGTTCTTCTGTGTTGTTTTACTGCAACAAAGGAGAGGCAGCATGACGTAAGTATTTTAGGTTCTGCATTCCTGCAGAGAAAGAATTTAAAGGATTTGCTGTAATTGCCCTATTGGGCCTGCCCCTCCTGACACAGGAGTCCAAGACTCTCAGTTTAAAAAATATATTGATTCTCCTTCACCAAATAATGCTTTAGACAAAAATTGGGACAGAGTACAGGCATTCCTTCAGAGGAAGGATTTAGAGGATTTACTCTCTATTTGTCCAAGTGGGTCCCTCTTCCCACCACTACATCCCCCCCCACCTCCAGGTACCAAGACCCGCAGTTTATACAATATTGATTTACCTTTGCCTAAGAATGTTTCAGACCAAACTTGGACACAGTATTCTGGCATTGGGCTCCATTCCAAAGGGCAGTTACCCAAAATTTATTTCCTTTCACCCAAGAACGTTTCAGAGCATACTTGGGCAAAATCAAATCAATCCTAAGATTAAGTAAAACCTCAAAATTTCCCATCCTGGGCCTCACCCCTCAGGCCTCATGTGGCCAGAGACACATCATTTACACAAAATTTGTTCCCTTGCCCTAAAAAATGCTTCTGATCTGAGGTGGTTAAAATCTTGGTTATTTATCATAAGTAGGAATTTTCAGTAAGAGTCGATGGATGACAGATACTTTGCTGTGGCATAAACTCATTGATCCTTCAGGCCAGGTGAGCTAACTAAACTAATTTCTTACTAATATCTATACAGTGTTTACTAACCTTCACCTTCACAACGTATTTCCTTTCCATATTGACTGATGCCTTCTGCTGCTTGCCTTGCTAATGTAGCACCCTAAATTACAGAAAATACATTAACTGTCTACTGGAAACATTTGACTCCGGCCTAACCACGTCTAATTTAATCTATGCTTTGATATAAAAAAGATTGGATATAAAAAATAGCAATATGGACAACACAGTGCACTCAGAATTCTATCAAACCTTATTTTTGTCTCAAAACATGAAGAATTTGTTCTGGCTTTGCCAATCTGCTGTGACAATCAAAGGTGAAATATTACTTTCAAGGGTAGCCAATTATTTTATTGCAGATTTATTTTTGTATCTATATTTCTCTTATGTTCCTGTATGCTTCAACATTCATTTGATTATATCATCTTCCCAAAATTGTTTTTGAATTCTTAATTTTGACAAAAAGAAATGCAAAAAAAAAAAAAAAAAAGCGTATCATGTGATTTCAGAATTTGCAGGATTTAAGGAGATTATAACAATATTAATGACACCAATTTTAGGTTGATCTGACAAAATCAGGTGTTTTGGAGATTTTGATTTGAGTAGTCTGACAAAAACACAAGTCCAAACAAACTAAATCTACACTTCGGATCTTAAAATTCTTTCAATTACTCAGCGTCCAAAAATCTTAATGTGGTTTGTCTCAATGGGATCATTTCTAGAACACATTTGGTCCCAAAAATTACAGCTCTTAAAAGTTAGTTTAAAACATTACTTCAATAAAATTTTTTCTAATGGATTAGTTATTTTTATTACAAGTATTTCATTCAAATATTGTATCTCTAAAACAAAAATGAAACAATTGTAGTCTAAACAGGAAGAATTTCAACAGTATAAACTCAATGTTTTCTGAGAATTGCCAAAACATTCATTATCATAAATATGAAAAATTAAAATTTTGTTTGTATCTGGTGTATAGGCTGTAGATGTTAACATACCTCTTCTTCATCTGAGTTTGAGTCATCCTTATTGCTCTCATTGACGTGCTCCCATTTGAATTTCATCTGCTTTCTGATCACTTTAATGCAAAAACAACCACTTATGTTCTGGTATGTTTCAACATTCTTTTGTCTTTTGTCCGGTATGTTATTTGTATTGTTTTAGGCATCTCTATGCTTCATCTTTTAGAATAAAAATATGGAATAACATCATCTGGTTGGTTGTTCCAATGGAGAAACCCTATGCTTACCCAAAAATGTCTCAGCGGCCACGCAGATACTCCAACAACAGTTTTAAAATGTTGATACATATATGAAGTATTCTACCCCAAAGAGCTTTGCCCAAATAACTACACATTACATCACATGGTATCAATTTCTAAGATCATTTTGAAAGTGATATACAATATGTTTAAAAACTATTCATGTACTTTTTGTCTTTAAAATGTGTGAAAGATAAGTATTGTCAATTTTTTAAGTAGTTTTCAAGAGCAGATGGAAATAAAATCAGGTTTCAACACTCAAAATTGATTTCTAAAATTTGTCAATTTTCTGAAACAAAAACAGAAAAAGAGAGAAAAAAAACCCATAATATCGCAGATCTTACACTGTTGTATATCTTTAGGTGGTAGAAAATAATCCCCAAGTAGTATTTTGGGACCATATTTCTGCTTGACAGCGTCCGACACATACAAAGCATGGAAAACAGCCAGATGCTCATCTATATAGGCCTCACTGCTAAATATCCTGGATAAATATACAATAAATACTTCAAGATAGGGTAAGTTTTCAAGTAAAAATAGTAAAATATATGGCATACATGTTGATCCAAAACAGGAGAATAATAATTGAAGGGAGATAACAATGAAGATATAAACTGAAGTAAATTAGTTCAATGTTGATTTACTCCGAAGTTATGACATACAAGGATACATTGCAACTTACATATCTTGATTTTGTATTGCTGTAAAACTAATTTTGAATCACATGGAACAATATTTCGAAATATTTTCTGGAATCCATATGTAATTGTAAATATTGTCAAATTAACAGCTTTTCCCAATTAGTATTAAAAGTACATACATTTTTGTATCAGGTGCCTCCTCATCTTCACTAAAAACAAACTGAGCATGGTCAATTCCTGCGAGTAAACCTCCGTGGTGTTCTGAAAAATACCAATGTGCAGTAATTATATATTGTTATAGGTTGATGTTTGGAGACACTGACCCAGAGGCTCTAGCCATTACTCTTCCATTCAGATAGCTGAATATGAAAAGTTTGTTTGGTTTCTAGCCCTGTCAACAACCAGTCATTTTGAGGTGGGGGTCTCCTTGTAACTGTACATGTGGTTGCTGCCTATCTTACTAAACAATGTATGCGGGAAACCGCTACATGCCATAAAGAGCAACTGGAATAAAGCATCTTGCCTGGGGACACAATTACATGTACTGGTACAGAACAGGACAGAGTGTTCCTAATGGTGTATTGACACTCATCATTTTTGCTCAATTATTATTATTATTATTATGACATTCTTAACGGCCCCTCAACACATAAAAGGTCATAAGGGCCATCAACCGGCAAAAACCTGTGATAAAAAATGGAAATAACATCAAGCAAATTCAAAGGTAAAGGCATGCTAAAAATTTGAAATAGTTATATTATCAGAAAAGATTATAATTGTAAGTCATAGTCTATAATACAGACCAACATCTTTCAGATAACCTAGAATTTTATTAATCCCAACAGTTTCAAAATGGGTCTTCAGACTTGTAATGTTACGATGAAAAATTTCTCGAGTAGACAGGTCAATGCAGTCCAACAAAAAAGGTTTAACAGTGAATGGCTCATCACATCCTATGCACCGAGGGTTATCTTCCCCTTTCAACAGGTATGAATGCATAAGGCATGTATGGCCCATACGAAGATGGGCAAGGTCGACTTTGTCTTGGTGGTTGTCTCTAAAGCATAGAGACCATTAACAGATGATCGGTTTTATGGAGTGCAATTTATTGTTAGTATATTAATTCCATTCCTCCTGCCACTGAGCTGTTAAAATTTGTTTGATAAATGGTTTAAAATCAGTAAAATGAATGTTAAAAACAACAGGTGGTAGCGATAAAGCTTCCTTTGCAGCACGATCTGCTTTTTCATTGCCTGGTATTCCCATGTGCCCAGGAACTCAGCGAAAAGGAATATGAAAGGTTAAAGGCAAGTTCATGATATAGTATTAATGTATTACAAATGAAAATATTTTTGATATTTCTACTGCTAAGACTTTGTAGTACAGAAAGAGGGTCTGAAAAGATAACAGCTCCCATTATTTTTCCTTGTTTGAATATATTCAAGCGCAAGGTAGATAGCTTGTGCTTCTGCTAAGAATATTGAGGTGTTGTTCGGTTGCCAGCATCCATACGCTTCATCTTGTGAAACAATGGCCACAGCAACCTTATCATTACCTTTGGAACAATCAGTATATAAATGCAGAAATGTTTTATATTTTAACAGCAATTTCGAGAAGGATGAACAAAAGGTGCAACTGCCAGTGTCTGATTTAACCATTTCATGAAGTGAAAAGTCAACTTTAGGTGAATTCAAAGAGCCAGGGCAGAATTTCTGTCGTTCCAAATGACTGAATTTGGTCAATATCAATATTTGTGTTTTGTACAAGAGCAGAAATCTGAATGTTGGAATCGTCTTTGGTTTGTTTTGAAACAAGGTTTTATATTTGGATTTGAAAAAGCAGGATTTGAAGGATTTGACTTTAACTGAACAGTGTATTGCAAAGCCAATTTCTTCCGACCGCTATGGTTTGTTAGTCTCTACACAGAGGCTTGCTCTAGGTGTGGTCTAAAAATTTGAGATATGAAGGTCTAGCAGATCCATACACAATGGAACCATAGTCTAATTTTGATCTAAGAACAGCTGTATAAAGTCTTAGCAAAACTTTTCTATCAGCTCCCCAACCAGTGTGGGACACAACCTTGAGAATATTCAGTGCCTTAAGGCATTTGGCTTTAAGGTATTTTATATGTGGAAGAAACAACAATTTCCTGTCAAATATTACACCTAAGAATTTTGTTTGCTCAACAACTTGAACAGGTACACCACAACAGGACAGATTCAGATTGTCATGTTGTTTTGGAATTTGACAAAAATGCATAATTTGAACAACATGAACAGATCAAGAATTATGTAAATATAGAAACAAATATACATCAAAAACTGAAAAAAGGAGAACGGTTTTGACTGTACCTGACTCAATCAGTGAGACTTGACAGTTTGTTTACTCACCCCAAAGTTTAATCTTTTCCTCCAGCACACTATTGGAGAACCAGGCTGTCTGCCCTTGAAACAGTGATGTTTCAGTATCACCCATGCTTTACAATCTGGACAAGTCTAAAAGGGCTGCTTCCTGAAGAAATAAATAATGTCATGCATCTATTGACATTTTCATGTATATTATGTGCATGCATGATTTCAGTACCTTCTCAGTTGGCATGAGAGAAATTAAGCTTCCTGATAAAAATTTAATTTAGTAAGGGTATTGACAACAAGTTTTATTTTCATACCTGGAGCAAAAGATAGTTTTTAATTCTTTCTTTAACATAAAATGGCAGTTAGAACATTAAAGTTCAGGCTATTCAACAAGCTACTTCAGAGTAACCAAAGGACTTTATTATATATATATGGAAGGTCTAGGTAGAACTATGTTACAATTTGATGAAGACTAAAATTATAATTATATACATTCTCACATATACGGATAATTTTAATAGCGAGCGCTTTGATATTGTGTGTTGGTAATTCAAAATCAACAAGCTTCAGGTGCCCATATTATTAACTTTAAACAGAAAGCTCGAACTTCATTATCAAGTTATAAAAGTCACACTTGTAAGCATACGAGGGGTCTAACTGTGGGAGGAAGCCCATATACCTTTAGGAAATCGAACCCCAGACGGCTAGGTGAAAGACAAGTGTGTTATAACTGCATCACCAAACCACTGCCTGATCAAATACAGTAGCCTCAGTCTCTGTATCGATATTATATACGATACAGTTGATACAGGTGCCTGTGTTTCTGGTAAAAAGTAGGGTTGCAAATGACAACAGGTTTACATTAAATAGAATCACATCAAAACTATTCGTGATAAAATTAGATGCTGAAAATACATAGATAAATGTTCTCACCGAATGTTGTATTTCGCGCAATTATTTTCGTCTGCTTCTTAACCGGAAATAGAAAGTGACAGTCTTCGTCCGCAAAATATTTTGCAAAATTGTAGTAATATTTTAAAAAAAAATTGGTTCCATTGTTGTTGCAAAAGTTTAGATTTAATGATCAAAATAACAAAAGCTTTTACATATTATGAAAAATATTAAATTTATTAAAACTATAGTTTGATGTCGGAACATTACAACCATTGTGATCAGGCTCATTTCCGGTAATGGCGTCCTGACAAAACAAAGCTTTGCAGAGAATAGCATCACAGAAATGGAGTTAGAGAAGCGACGATCCAATTGTGGCGGCTTACCATCTGGCTGGAAGAGAGAAGAAGTGGTCCGAAAATCGGGTCTATCAGTTGGGAAAACCGACGTGTATTATTACAGGTACAGTACTCCGATTCCGATGTTGATAAGCCGACTATGCTCAGGCCAGCAGACTGGATTCCCAAAATATGCATTATCTGTTTTTGATGTTAGCAACATCTGAATGCGAAGTTGGGTGGAAGTAACTGATGGCTACCTCACTGAACAAGTAACATGAGGTCCGTCCATGCAATCCAGAGCAATATGGGGGTAAAGCGTCTTGCCTAAGGATGAAATGACGACAGCATAAACCGGTTAATGTCTCAGCTTCCTAAGAATGGCAAATTGTACCTTTCCTTAAAGGGAACATCAAACCACATATCTCAGATCTTCACCTGTGAATGCGTAAGCCAATGCTTTACAGTTGAACTATCTCATCCCCAACCCAACACGATTAAATGATTTGTGAACGTCTTAATGTGTTGGGTCAAAGAAACCAAAACACTAATTGATTACTGGAAAAACCCAACTGGCAAGAATTTATACACAGGAGAATCAGATTATAAACACAGGATTTAGGACTTCTAATCAATAGATCGGGAGATATTTCTAAAGGGATAATACACTTTCCCTTTGTTTTGGTCACTAACCACTTAAAAAATGAAACTTTCAAATAGTGACTATCAGGAAGGCTATGCTGTTATCATCAGAAAATGTTGTAGTGCAATCATACTTGCCTTTCTGTACCACCTTTTCCAATCCTGATAATAACATATGAAAATAAACATCACTTCTAGTCAGCCATTTCTTGATCAGAATGATTCTGGACAGACTGTAGATTGCTAATTATATTTCTACGCTATTAAGCAGCGGGCAGATATGTAGGGAAAAAAAAGATATATATAGATCACAGTTGTGGAGAGAGGGGACTGAATTGAATTATGTAGGGAACAGGCACAAAAGCAATTGATGAATATACCTCCATTGACGATTTTTTTTTTGTTTTTTTTTTTTTGGGGGGGGGGGGGGGTGTCAGTAAGGGCCCCATTCCTACTTAAAATCATGTCAACCAAATTCGAACATTTAGCAATTTTTCTCCTGAAAATTTCCTCCTAAAGTCACCAAATTTCAATACAAAATACAATGCAATCCAAAATTATCAAAGAAAAAATCCTTGTAGTAGAGATTTAATTATGATAAAACTTGGCAGTCATCTGATTGTATGTCAGTGTCATTTTGTCAAGAGGTTAATATCAAAGTCAAGTTTTCAAATCTTTCACTGCTTTTTATTTTTTTGTAATTTTCTGATGCAAAATTGTTGAAAAAGTAAATTCACTTGTAAACAGGTAAACATATATAAAATATTTAAATAGGGAGTACAGATGTGTCAACTAATTTTGGGGGGAAGGGAGGTGGGCAACACGAAGATGTAATGCTTTTGTGCAGAAAAAAACAATTTTCCAGTTAATGGGTATAATGTGGTTACTTTAATCAAGAGAAAAAAAGCAGGGTTTCTAGCAGAAAATCAGTGTTTTCACCATTTCTTCCACTTTTGAGGCACATAGAGGCCAGAATAAATTTTCTGCTTATATGACTCACACCACTTACATTTCATTTCCTATTGTTGGTGTCTTCTCCATGAAGCCATGACCCTACACATTTTAAAGATGTTGTAATTAACAGGGCATCAAATCCTGATGAAGGACAGTATGTGGATATAGTGTTATCTTTTTTGTTTTTTTTTTTTTTTTGTTTGTTTTTTTTTTAATGAAGATTTTAAACCCATATTGTTTGGGACAAGCTGATACTTTCTCAGCTTTTGCATTTCTCCATTTCATTTGAAGTGGGCAAGCTTGTGTGGGGCATGTATGTTTCACAAATTAAAAACACTCTTGAATTTTGTAGTGGGATTTTTTTTGTTTCATGATGGCAGTCCTGATGGGAAGAAGATCAGAAGTAAACCGATGCTGGCACGGTATCTTGGTGAATCCTTAGACTTAAGTGCTTTTGATTTTCGGACAGGCAGAATTATTCATAGTGCACTCAGAAAAAGTAAGCGTCCAAGGGGAACACCGTATGATTCTACAAGAGGTTGGTCGATCAAATGTAAAACAGTTTATTTGGATTTTTTAAAAAAAGTTTAACCAATTACATTGCTCACAATATGTTTTCATGTTGATCATTCATATTCATGATCATCTTTCATTCATAATCATTGAATTAATCACCTTTCCATTCTGGTAACTAGTTGGTTTGGTTAGTATAACAGTTTACTTTGTGCAACAGCTCACTGTTAGAGTGCACGTATATGGTGTGGTCAAACAATTAACAGGCTTATTTATATTTAATCATTGCACTAAGGTTGCCTTTGGAGCAGAACAGAATAAAAAAGTACTAATTAAATGTGTCATGTTCACATCTTCATCCATTACTGTTTTACATTATCACTTATACCTTTGATACCAAACCCCGAAGCTTCAATAATCACTAGCCTATTCAAAAAAGAATTCAAAGATTAAAGAAGAAAAAGTTTGATACAGATTTGTTTAGCAGATGTTTGGGTTTGTAGTCTGGATAGACAAAACAATTCTTTGTATTAAATATCCAACTGTAAATTTATTGGTTTTAATGATTAAGTGTGAAGCGTCACCATTTTTGTGGGGTTTGGTATATCTGAAATTAATCTATTGTGTTATTTATCATTATATTGCTACTGTAAAATTTATACCATTATTTATGGAGTAATTTTCTGAATTATCTTAATATAATATTATAAACATGTAATGAAATGAAATTTTGATATACTTAAACATTTAAACTTGTGAAAGATTCACAAGTGTAAGAAAACAAATAATTTTGAAATTTAAAATTGTACTTTCAAATCAAAAGTTCTAAGTCAAGTGGTTGAAAAATTTGGTAGCCATATAATCATGCATTGTTTCATGTTATGCTTGTGCTTGCATCCATATGATACACGCATACAGTGTATATTTATAACCATATTACACAAAGTTCATCTGTTTCAGAGTAAATATACATGTATAACAATCTGATAAGTATTTCCATATTTATAGTCATTGTCATGTTGATGTCTGTCTACAAAGTTTGCTGTCATTTGTTAATTATATGGTACAACTGTACAAATATACTGTGTAGGAAAATATATAGGTACTCTTTACTCCATCATCATCATCATCATCATCATCATCATCATCATATGGTAAAAAGGCATTTATAGATTGCATGATGACCAAATTACTTTCAAAAGTTACATAAATCGTAGCAAATGTGCATGTTAACTTGTAGATGTGTATGTGTATGTTAATTACAATTAAAGGAAAAATGCTGAAGTCTAACATTACTGCTATTTTGTTAAGGAATACGACATGACACAAGTCTAGTACTCCCTATTAGGCAAACAGCATCCATCTTTAAACAGCCAGTCACAGTGATAAAGAACCGGATGGAGAGCAAGACCAAAACAGATCTGAAACATGGCCCTCAGGATCCTCCGAAACAGGTCAGATGTTACACCTATCACAATAGAACACAGTAAAGCCTCTCTCTTGGAGTACATTTATCACAATAGCATTTGTTCAGTTTTACTGTACAGTACATGTAATACCAATCTGTAAGTAGTCCGATGCTGAATAGATAGTGTAAACTGAAGCTTGGAGGGCATACCTATGTAGCTATTTTCTTTCAAGACGTTATAAGTTAATCTTTATCCATTACCTAATTATTGTTAACATCACAAGACCATAATGAGGTATATTTAAAATTTTACACACTTGTGTTTACTGTTTATAAATTTCAAATGGTCAGATTTGTCAACTTAAAAAAAACAGCTATTGATATAAGTATATTTGATAATAAAATAGTTTTTACTGGATGTCCACTTTAGTGAGTTATTGTGTGAAGCTGGTGGTAAAATTAAATTCTAAATACCTTTATCACACAGCTGGCCTGTCACAAAGACATGTTTAATAACACTACTGTGATGTTATCAATAAGTCATGTCTTTATGACTTCACATGACTGTTTCCATTGGAAATACATACTGTCCATGTCAAAATAAGTTTGTCATATAGCAAAATTTGTTTTCGTTTATTTTTCAGAAATAGGGGTTATATGATAAATAGGATTTTATACTCGTGTCAATATGAAACTTATTAAACTCCTGAAATAATTTGATATGTCACTCCCCTTAAGACTCCTGACATATCAAATTATTGAATTTGTTTAATGATCAATGGTGGGCTATTCAAATTTCTCTGCCTCTGTGGTCCATCTGTCCATCCGCTAACAATTTTTATTATCATGATTTCTTGAGAAGTACTGGATGGATCTTTCTCAAAATTTGATATGTAAGTTCCCCTTAGTCCCTTGTTATGCCTGTTTGATTTTGGGACTGATCAAAAAACAAAATGGCTGACAGACAGTCATGTTTGATTTTTCAGTGAGATTTGTTATTGCTATTTCTTTGAAAGGAAGATATTAATCTCTGTCAAATTTTATATGTAGGTTCCCCTGGTCTCTAGTTGTATCTGTAAGAGTTTTGGACTGATCAGAAAAACAAGTGGCCTACAGGCAGTGGTCTTAGATTTTGATTTGTAATGATCATTATTGCTATTTCTTAAGAACTACTGAATGGATGTCTCTCAAATTTTCATATGTATGTACCCTTTGTTCTCTTCGTGTGCTCGTTTGATTTTGGGACTGATCAGAAGAAACAAAATGGCTTCCAGGTGGCCAGTTTGGATTTGGCAGGTAAAGATTATCATCGCTATTTCTGCAAAGGAATGTTCAAATGTCTTATCATTAAGAGAAAAAACAGAGAAGGGAAAAGATCCAACTTTCAAAGAGGATATAAAAATCAAACAATGGTGGACGCCAAGATCCTTCTTGGATCTCTTGTTATATTACATTGACACTCCTATAAGATCATCAGTGTATTACAAAGGTCTTGAAACTATGATGATAAAACAAATCTGAAACCATGATAACAAAATGATGTTACACATCAAGAATCATACAGGTCAAGTATCAAAATTAAACAAAGTGTGTTTTTTAGGTCACTCATCAAATCTAATTGAAGTATATCTTGGAGGTGTATGATAATAGGCCTGGTAAAAATGAGTGTCTTGACTACACTCTACAGATCTAGATAACCTATCTACAGAATTACTCAGTAGGTCTACTCAAAAGTTGTAAAAGCAATTAATTATACAACTTACTAAAATGAACAAATTGGGATATGACTTGGACTGGTGCAGTGGAATAATCATTGTGTGAAGGAACATTCTGCAGTTCATGCAGTATATAAGTCTCACTTAACTGTCACTGTTTGTAAACATTTTATAAACATCTTGTTAGTTAGACAAATGAGGACTCCCTTAGCTTTCTTTTTTTGACATATTAATTCATGATGCTACACTATGGCAAATGCAAAACCCCCTGTGCTTAACTTGTGGTACACCAGTCTTAAGAGTTGCATTCCTTTATCCTCATCTATAACAATCCCCATCCATTCCATCCCTTGTGTGATAAAACAGTATATATTGGGTAATATTTCTGTATAGCCACACTTGTTGCATATATCACGAATGTAGGTCTTGTTTCACCCAGAGTAAAAAAGTTGTAATGTTTAATTTTGTTTGACTTACAGTTATTTTGGGAAAAGAGACTGCAGGGAATGCGAGCATGTGACAGTGGGAATGAGTTTTTACAGCCTTTAGACTTGCCCAGAAATGTACAAGGTATGTTTAAAAAATGTACTGTTTTCGCTGTGGTATATCTTATAGATATTTTTAGTTAGGTCATCTGAGTTCAGATGAAATTTTCCTTGCCTGAGTGTATTTTGCATTTTAATGTTTCATCAGGTGTTGGACCAGAGCTGACAACAGAGAATATTCTACAGAGTATATCTGCAGCCCTGCACTTAGGTAATGCACCAGTGACAGGACAAGCAAATAACAAAGCAACCCTGGCAAAGAACCCCGGCGTCAACATTGACACCAACCAACCACACATACAGGTAAGAATGTTGTCCTGTATTTATATTAATCCTGTTTGCCTTTACACAACCAACCACACATACAGGTAAGAATGTTGTCCTGTATTTATATTAATCCTGTTTGCCTTTACACAACCAACCACACATACAGGTAAGAATATTGTCCTGTATTTATATTAATCCTGTTTGCCTTTACACAACCAACCACACATACAGGTAAGAATGTTGTCCTGTATTTATATTAATCCTGTTTGCCTTTACACAACCAACCACACATACAGGTAAGAATGTTGTCCTGTATTTATATATTTATATTAATTATATAGTAGATTAATCCTGTTTGCCTTTACACAACCAATCAAATGTACATAAACAACTATGACAGATTTCAGAAATATTATATTATGAGATTGTGTTAGAAAGTTATATTCATCAGACACTCTTTTGTCATCCTTGATACTCCAGTGGGTTACACCCACTATCACATTCTGCACCTCTGGAACTTTTCCTTGCATAATTGAAGGCACAAGACCAGTAATGTTTTAATATAGTTATTCCTCCTATTTTCACAATAAGCTTTAGCTTAAGAAGGGATGACAGAGTTGCTTGCAGTGCTCTATAAATTTTTATGACCTCTTCCATTGCAGCAAATGATTGTGTCAGAGGATGATATAAGACGCCAAGAAACAAAAGTGATGGAGGCAAGAAGAAAACTACAAGATGTTATGAAGGGCCATTTGTAATACGACACTAGATATCATGACTTCTAGGATATAAAGGAGTCCAGCAAACCACATTCTCTTATTGGTTGTATCAAGCATAAGCTACCTACACTTGGCAAATACTTATAGTATTTACAAAAAAATGTCTGATCTGGAACGACATTTTTCATGATTTGCAAGTCTGACATTTTTGAAAGCCATTACAACAAGTAAAAGGAAACTAAGTATTAGGATCACAGATGTTTATTATCATGTCATCAACAATTGGATTATAGGAGAATACTCAGCAGATATAATATGAAATTTTTTATTAATATTTAATCAAATGTCTATATTACCGTAAAATCATTTGTATTTCATTGATGTTGTTAGCATTTTGAATCCAGAAATAAATATCACCAACAATAAAGAGATAAAAATTGACATGGGCTAGAGTACTTGTGAATATTGTAATCAATACTTAGCCATGAAATCTGGTGCCAACGAAATTGTATATTTCTGTTGAATTATGAAATTTCAGCCCAAAAAAGATGGCTTTACAGTATACCTAGAATGTTACAATTACAATTCTCAGGTCATTTATCATCAAACATGATGTTAAGATAACAAACTGGGAAATATGGAGAAACCTTTTACAAGACTAGTAGAAATTATACACCCAGTATGTAATTTGAACATATTACAGTATGATGAATTTCCTGTCTTTAATTGCTTTATTTTAAATTCAAGTACATTTATTGCAACCATGTACCATATATTTAAAATCAAACGTCATACTGATTTCTTAATGTGAAGTGATATAAATGCTAGTACAGTACATATAACTAAACTACTCAGCCTTTGCCTCTCCAAATGAAGTGATTTGATTCTTTATATTGATATATAAACAGCTACATATGTATCAATAACAAAATATAGAGGAATTGACCTGCTTTTTTGGTGAAGAATTAGATAAAAAAATGTTTAATTACAGAATTGTCAAAGACAATAGTTGTAGTATTCTGTATTCTTATTGTAAAAAATAATAATTACAATTATAATAATAAATTCATACAGCGATTGACCAGGGCACCCTCTTATTGTTTGAACACATAATAACTTAAAATGGTCATCAAAGTTGTGTATTTAATACAGAACGTTTACATGTAATAATAAATCAATATTTTTGTGGTGTTAAATATACAGTTTATATTCATTAATTCACAAAACTGAACTGTCAGGATCAGCACTTGTGGAAAGATAGAGATTTTTTTCAGTCATATTTAAACTTCAAGTCAGTTTTATTATAATATCATATTTCATTATAGCAATTTTAACAACCTGAACATCACATGGTCAATCCATTATACAATCATTAATAAAAAAATTTCTGTGATGCAACAAAATAATGTGTTTTTTAAATTTAGAATTTAAATGATTGTTTTGAAATGATTGGTGCAATAGTTTGTTCTTTTTAAATCTAATTAAATCTAACATATAATGTATGTAGCACTTTTCACTCACTTTCATCCCTATAGCATATACATAACACTCTCAGAAAATTCACCTAGCATTATAGATGGCCTGTTAAAATGAACTACCTGGTAAATCAGTAGAATGTATGTACACCTGAATCAAATTGAACTTTTTTTTTAAAAATAAAATCATTTTAAATTCATAAATATTTATCATCTGGATCAAGTTCAAGGTCTTCTGTTTTATTTCATGTCATGAGATATTGATAGAATTTTTCATTTTCTGTAAGATTTCATAAAATAAAATTAAGTTGTCATTATCTATTCTCGTCAATACATGCGTAAGAGTTTATGCCCAACTCTTGATGTATATTAGTACATAGGATACTTAAATCCGGCATGTACCAGCAGCAAATTGGACATATATGTAAGTCACTGATATAGTGACAAACATGTAGTATACTTTAGCAAGATGTATTGATTTACAAAGTTTGTAGATGAAATGATTGTAATTCTTTAAACAGGTAGGTTTTAGTTTGAAATAAATGATGTATTTGTGTATTAGCCTGGTTTCAGTCTTCTTTTTGAAATACATGTATTCTGGGTTTAATATCACTTGATGACATCTATTTAGTGTTCATACATATAGTACATTGTATATGAAGTTCATGAACATGCTATACATTTGAGGGTTATCTACTATGGTAATAAAACTTGTGTGAAGGTAAGATAATGAATGGTTGAAAATCCAGTCTGTCAAATACACAATTTCATGAACTTAAGCATACTTTTTTCTCCTGTTTTGGAATATGTTTGTTTTGCTTACTTTCAGATAAAATATGGTCTTAGTATGGTGATGTATAAAAGAAAATGGTTTGAACAATAATAAAATCACATTATGATATAAAATGAAAATGGTTTAAAAGACAACAAGAAAATACCAACATGTGAATACCAAGTTTGGTCAAACTTCTTGAAGGAATAAAGAAATGAGGGTATTGGCAAGGATTAAATAAAAATCTTACTGGCTGCCCCTACATCCCTGAAATTTGAACTGATCTGCGATATTGGAGTCTTTTAGAAGAATGTGAAGTTCAATTAAACTCATTGAAGAGATGAAGCCTCGAAAAAGGAAATTGCTGTAGTGTTGACAATGGATTTCTATAAAATTGTATAATGATGAATATTTGACCCAGTAAAAGATTCCCAAAACCTGAACTCGTCCAGTATTTAATATTCATGAGGAAGATTGCATAGTTTAATCAAGATTCCCCCTAAGGAGTGCCAATGAAGATTTTCTAAGATTAAATAACCTTGACCTTAACTACTACACAAAACTTGAACTTGTCCAAGATTTACATGTACTATGGTCTTATATAAGTGTGTGAAGTTTGATCCAAATTAATTAATGAGGTGATAAGGTCTTCTGATGAGCTTATTTTAGAACAGTGAATTAGTTAATACTACCAAACAACGATAGATATGGATGGGCTTATCACATGTACAACTAAGATATCTACTATTACAGATATAAGGGAAATAGTCGATTATCAGTCTTTGCCATGTTATAATGCAGTAGTGTAGTTTTCTTCCAAACAGTGAAGAAAATGTTGCTCTCCCATTACTTTTAACTTCAGGGACGTTGAAGTGTAATTATGAATTTTTACCCACTTAATGATGGCGAGTTGTTTGAAATCATTATACTCTCCATAAATAAATTTTGTTGTCACTGTGCCACAAGGTCTTGATGAATATTTATTATATTCCATTTCATTTAAGGTCTCTGAATATGTGGGATTTTGAAGAGAATTTGAAAATCAAGTTTGACTTTGTCAATCCGTTATCACCACATATCAGGCAATTCGATTATTTATATAAAATTCTGAAAGTAGGTTCCTCATAGATGAGTCTGAAAGTAAGATTGCTGATGGTTGGCAATCCCTGGATGTTCTAACTAATTCTCAGTATGCTCTGGATGGATATTGTTGGCACATCATTTGATACAAGGTGGGCTTCTCAAATCGTGTGCAATAAATGGTGTCCTTGTTTCGGCTATTTTAGAAGAGCTATGACTGAAAAGATCTTGAAATGTAATTATCCTATTTAGTTGTGTATACAATATAAGTGGCCATTTTCAGGTCTCCTGGTGATCTCTTGAGCTCTTTTGTACGGTGTAATTCATTGTACGCAATTTATATATATAACTTCTGAAAAACCCCACAACCAATTTGAATAAAATTCATAAACCTTCCATGGCCAAAGGTGAAACTAAATTGAGAATTATGCTGTTTCCACCCCTAAGTGATCGCAGAAGAGGGTCAAATTAACTCCAATTTTAAAATTCTTCTCAACACATAGATAAGGTATGTCAAATAAATGAATGCAAGAATCTTGAATTTCATGACCCCAGGATCTCAAATTTACTCCTGGAGAGCATACATTTTACTTTAGCCGATTACAGTTTTGAGCATACTTATTTTGGATAATTTCCACTGGAAATAATTAAAATCATGGTGATAGTTTGACCAAATGCACATGTTGGCCTTGCTGACTGTTAGGGGTTGGTTGGCGAGGCCAAAAGGGGTGCAATTATTTGATTAAAAAGATTTTAAAACTTCTATTTAAAAGGCCCAGATATGACGTAATCAAATACTCTTCACCAATGGAAGCACAGGTCTTTAAGCTCCTTTACCATAATTATGAATCGGATAACCTCCTCGTCTTATATCTCCCTTTGGGGAGGGGATAAACATGAGAGTTTATACAGGAAAATTTCATTTCAGGGTTTAGTTTCTTTAAATTAAAAAGTGGTTGGAATCCATATCATGGAATGGCAGTTAATATTATGCACAATTTACATGAGCATTATGGGTACAATGATGTTCAAGTTATCGCATTTTGTTCAGATTATTTCTGTGAGAAGTCAGCATTTACTCCGGTGACTGCTAACTCCTTTAGGCCTCTTGTTGATGTTTAGATCATCTGACTCCTAGGGTCTGGATGACCTATAGCCATTGTGTTTCCTCTGTTGTTGTGTGCAGTACATAAACTTTCCATTCAAATGTCTTCTCAATAACCAGAAAGCTCAGGGTAGTCATGTTATACAAGTAGCATTTTGGGATAAAAGGTTACCAAGTTTGTTAATATGAATTACCTTGACCCACTTTCATCAAGGTAACACGGGCCAAATATGTAAAAATAGTGAAATTACTTCTTCTCAATAAGCATGATGGGATGAAAGGCTACCAAGTTTGTTAATAGTGAAATTAAAAATAGTTTACTTCTCAATAAGCAAAAGGCCAGTGGTCCTGATAATGGACCTGCAGCATGATGGGATGAAAGGCTACCAAGTTTGTTAATATGAATTACCTTGACCTACCTTTGAGGTCAAATATGTTAAAATCTTTAAATAACTTATTCTAAATAACCAAAACGGTTTTTATACTCAGAATGTTACGGGTACTGATATTGGGCCTGTCAAAGTCACAGGGATCAGATGTGTTGAAATTCGTAAGCAGCTTCTCAATTACCAAAAGACTAAGGGTTTTGATACTGGGCCTGTAGCATGCTTTTTCAACCAGCAATATGTCTGGATTAATGGTATTTGTGTAGTGCATGTATGAAGAACATGATTTCAAGTTTACAGAAAATGTCTTTATGAACCAATTAATGTCTTCTATGTAAGCTGTAGTGTAGTTGTGCAATTTATTTTTGGCCTATTTGGCCTTTCATGCATGTCTTTATTGTCAGATGACCCTTAAGGAATTTGTGATCACTTTATTGAAATTAATCTTTTATGTGTATGCCTAGCTACAAATGTACTATGAAGTTCAATTTTTTAAGCAATCAAAATCCAATAGGGCATTGTGGATTAGTGTGCTTTGAAGGAAAAATTGACAGATTTGCTGCAACCTTCAGAGGCCCGCTTGGTCTGGAAAATTACCATATTGAATGCACTGATGTTTACAAACTTGTTAAAAGAGAGCAATATTTCTAACTGGCAGACAAGATAAATCCATTAGGATTTCATTATGCCATTTTTTACACGTCTATCTTGGTGTTTGAGCCTAAGTGAATGGATTTGTCAGTTCATTATTAACTGTACTTAGCATAATATGTATATTGCTTAATATATTGCAACACCATAGTTGTTAAAAAGAAAATAGATGGAGTTTAAAACATTTTGATTACCATCTCTTAGGCTTTTTCAAACACTGCACTGCCTGAACCATTTGTTGGTACTTTTTTCATGGTTTAAGCACATTTTAAGGATAAAATCTTTCAGGAAAACAAAACTAAAACAATAATCCCAGGCCTCAAATTTAACATTTTTTGTCACTTACTGAAAACAGCAAGTGCCTTAAATTTGTACTTGCTAAAATGACTTTCTACTTGCTATTATCGCAAATCTCCATGTTCAAATAATGTGTTTTGTTTTGTGATTTATAATGTATTACCATGCTTCATCCAATATACATCATCATTATAGAAGAACTGTTGTGTCTGATGAATCCACTTGCTGAAGAAAGCAAGTCATTATTTTTTCTACTTGCAATTCTTGGATTTCTACTTGCAAATAGCCAGTAAAAAGCCTTCAATTTGAGGCCTGAATCCATTCATCTGTCATTGTCTAAAGCCACAAAAACAAAGTTCCTTCATGTTGATCAATATCGCATAACCCTTCAACGCCACAAAAATGGCATTTCACTGGATTCTTATGTATGAACTGGTTTTATACAACTTACAGCGTTCCTGACATTTCCTGCCCTCTCAAATTGCAGTGTAACAAGAAAATGACAGTTTGAAACGCGTATCATTTTGTGACCATGCAGAAATTAAAAATAAAACGCAAAACCAAGATCAGTTTAAATTAATTTAATGTTTCAATCTATTGAGGCTTCCACAGAGTTTTGCTTCAATTTTCCCAACTTGCATTTCTTTCTTTCACTTTATATATATTATATATTGTAAGAAAAGGATACATAAACATTTTAGGGGCCTAACAATGATAATGGACAATGGTATAGCAACATCAGGGCTTCCTTACTGAGGAGATAACAGCGGAAAGGAAATGTTTTTGATTTCAGAAGCACTACTTGGTGGTAGATTTAAAGTTTTTAAAGTGTCTAGGATGCGACTGATCAGTAAAGCATTTCATGTTAAAATTTTTATTGGTCGTTACATAATCAGTAAAGCTCAGAATTCTCCCATTAAAAATATAAATATTCTACCCTTGGCATAAGAGAAACTCATTCACGCACACCTTTATATTCATTAATATTCATTAATATTCACATTCATACCCAAATCTCGCACTAACCATTCACCATGCACCAACTACAAATTGAAGTTAACAACATGAATGTTTACCAGCACCCAAATGAACATTGCTGTCAATAAAATAAACTATCAAAAACAAGATATGAATAATTTACATGTCACTGCAGGAGAAACCTAATCACAAGTTTTTGGTTTATCTTTGTAAGAAAGTAATTCACTTAATCATTTTGATACATATATCAAGAATTTGAAAAACCCCACAACTGCATGGAATGAAATTTTGTGAGAGTAAGTTAACTTGACTGTCGGGAGTAAAACACCCATACATATTAATATGTTGAAGATACTGTTTACATAATGTAAAAATGGGAATGAAAGTCAATACTTATCACTTACATAAAAGAAAAGGATGAGAAGAATAGCTCTATGATAATCATGTACTTCTTTCATTCGATCTGCACTTTTTTACTTTAGCTACTTTCATGCTCTTTAAGTGTTTATAGTTCAGTCTTCTTCTTCTTCTTCTTTTTCTTCTCACCATCCATAGCTGCGTTAACCTCATCCTTGCTTTCAGCATTGCTGGCCAAGTATTTCATGAAATCATTGACTTCTCTTCCACCCTGTAGTTCAAGAAAATGAGTATGTGTTGTTTAACAATTAACAAAAAACTCACTAATAATGAAAGATCTATTCAATCTTGGGGACAAAATTCCAGAGAGTTACTTCAAATTCTGAGTTCAAAGGTATCACACTGTAACTGTTGAAGAAGTCCAAGGAATAAATCAGAATTTTGATGCATACAATTTTTTTCTAGTTTCTCAATATTGTCAAATTCTGTCATATTAGAGCATGAGAACAATGTTTGAAATATAATTTTGAATTTATTGCTTCAGTATTAATTAACTGTTTCAGACTACCTACCTCATATTTCATTGGTGGCCTACCCTTGGGTTTAAAGTAAATGGTTGGGAAACTGAAAGTAGAAAATAAATGCATGTACACTGTTGAAGCAATCGAAGGTATGACATGATAGATATCCATCCAGTGAGATAGTTTCAATGTCACTGCCAAAGAAAAATTAAGAACTAGAAAACTGATTGGTGAGCAAGGGCTCTACTATATACCTAACAATATATCTCCCCTATTGGCACCAAGTAAACATGACCGTCTTGGATTAAGGGTTATAGTTATATGGTTTTATTCAAGTACACAGAAATTAGCAGTAATACACTGAGATATCTTACATGTGTTGCCAGAGTTTTGACACCAGGGTTTGGCCATCTGTTAGGACCTTATATGATGTGTATTTCTGACAGTGAATTCTTGATGCTATAGTTTCAGTCACAGCAATTTTTGGCAATAGCAACTTTTTAAACCTCACACCTGCACATCACTATACCGATCATGTAACGTTTGGGAACATACATATATGTAGTGTTCTTATTCTGAGATTATCTCAAGAAGCGTATAAGTGCCGTTGGCAAGAAAGAAAAACCAGTGACCATCATAATTACACACCATTTCCATGCAGGACCCTATTAACTGGTTTACATCAAACCCTTGTATGAATGACCAAATAAGTCCAGAATAACTTCCAAAGGATAATCAAAATCTGACAGCAAGTTCAAACTCAATCATTTTGCTTCATAAAAGGCTTCTCCTGGATAGCTATTAATTTTCCATCATTTAGAAATCAATAACAAGGAATCGCTCTGATATACATCATGGCCAATGATAGTGACCAGGCAGACTGGACAAGGGAAAATGCAGGTATCAAAACAAAATCATTGAATACTGCATTTACTGACACACAATTAAGAAAAGCAGATATCACCTATTTTAACATACCAGTCTTTTAAAGAAGCTTTAACATGGGCTGGTTTCAGAATAATGACAAATACTGAAGATAAGACCTTTGTCTGTACAGATAGCTTACACTTGTAAATATTCAGTCATTGAACACATATTTAAAGAGGATACTTTTGTGAATTTTTATTGCTTTTATGGTTCATCATTCTTTGGGAATAGATAGAGTGCATAAATTTCCAAAACCATATGCGTTAAGGCATTTTTTAATTCATTGCAAGTTATCTTGCGAATAGACTTTAGTTCCTCATACAGCATAAACAATTTCATTTTAATGTCATACTACATCAAGAGGTTGAATAAGAATAATGTAACGTCTGATTTCTTTTTGCATAAGGACTTACCCTCTAACTTCATATGGACTTGGTACGTCATTTGCTGTAGCATCCATTTTTCCAATAACAATGTCCGAAATGTCTTTAACCTGTTAAAACAATATTTTGTGAATTTTAATATCTTATTGTTAATGAAATTGCATTTAAGGGGAACATCGTTGTACTGTTTATCTAAATAAGTGATTTACTTCTGCTTTGTAAACATATCTCTATCTCTCTCTTTGTTTCACCAATTTTTTCTTATCATACCTTTTCTCCTAATTCATTGTATTTTGGCTCCAAGGATTTACAATGTCCACACCAGGGAGCATAAAATTCTAACAGCGCATCTTTATCATCAGTAACAATCTCGTCAAAATTTTTGGCAACAAGAACCTGAAACAAAAAAATAGCAACTCTTTATTTCAATCCTATCAAAGTCCATTCTACAATTACTAAGAACTACAATTTTTACATGATACTGACAGCAGAAGAAAAACCTTGTTTCTATGTATTGTGCACTATAAAAAGGTATACCAACCAAAGATATTGTGACAATTTAGTTTGATCATAATCCCTTGAGAAATAATGGCTCTAACAATAACATGGTTTGAAAAAAATCTTTCAATCATTGATATTGCCTGAGTGATGTCAATAATTTTCTACAAATGGTAATAGTGACCTTGATCTTAACCTTTGAACCCTGACAGTTTTCTCATATTCAATGAATTTTGCATATTCATGTAATTTGATTACAATCCCTCACAATTTAAGTTGTCAGAGTGATGTCACCGATTCTATACATAGTAATGGTGACCTTCACCTTAGCACTGTAAAAAATGATCTCTGATGAGGTGTTGTCATAGCTGATTTAAAATAAGATATGAAATGAAGCTGCTAGAGTGATGTTATTGATTTTGGGACAGGACTAACAGACATGTAGCATGCAACCCCCCACCCCACCACCCTCTCTCAAAAGTCTGAAAACTACATATCAATTTTAAGATTTAAACTCTGGACTGTTAGATAACAGTACACTATTTGATCAAATGCTACAAACCAACAAAGAGAGTTAAGAGACTCCATGTTTAAACTGACCAATGGAATTGTCTCTATAAATTCCAACATTTCAGGCATAATTGGTCAAGAACATGCACGTACACAAAAATCATCAAGGCTTATCAGAAAACAAAATGAGATCAGTAGCTATGTCCTTAACACCTAAGAAACAACCAAAGCCAAACCAGTCCTACTTATGAGCAAAAGTAACTCAAGTCATTAATGTTATGGAATAATAGCCCATACAAGTACTGGTCTTGATTTGTACCAAGTTGTCAGAAATTATTCAAATTAATTTTCCACATGATTCTGGCCCAGAAATATGAACTTAACCCAAAATAAATTCATTTATGGCAGCTGTTGCATGATACAGAATGACAAAGCTGATGCATGACTATCCCCCTTTCAGTTTGTATAAGACAGTGAAACTTCTCTAAACCAGCCATGCATGGGACAAGAACATTTGATTAATCTAAGAAGGGATCTGTTTGCAAAAGTGAACAAAGTTGACTGGTTCCAATCTGATTCTGTTTGGTACATTATATCTCTATCCATTTCTCCTTGCCTTACATCAACTCTAAACATTACCACGCAACTCTCTGAATGCAGAAAGACATATAATAGAGTATTTTGATAAGTCTGAAAATACTGGTTATATGCTATGAACATATTGTGGGACTACTAGTAAAACTATTGATAAAGATATTGGCGTTACAATAATTATTCTATGAGGTCACTATTCCCATTGATGCTCATATTATAACTGACAACTGGATGCTTTAAACTCATCATCACGATTTTGGTTATGTTGATTTTCAGGCTTCAAACTCTAATTTATATCCACAGGCATAATGTTGTATAATTCAAATGGGTTCAACAAAATTTATTTGATTTTCGACAGCCTGATAAGGTCGACCATATCCCCCCCTCACCTCTTTAGTTATGACTACCTTACCTTCACTGGTCCACTGTTGTCTGCTGGTACAGCCTCGGATTCTTTAGTTATGACTACCTTACCTTCACTGGTCCACTTTTTTTTTTTTTTTTTTTTTTTTTTTTTTTTTTTTTTTTTTTTTTTTTTTTTTTTTTTTTTTTTTTTTTTTTTTTTTTTTTTTTTTTTTTTTTTTTTTTTTTTTTTTTTTTTTTTTTTTTTTTTTTTTTTTTTTTTTTTTTTTTTTTTTTTTTTTTTTTTTTTTTTTTTTTTTTTTTTTTTTTTTTTTTTTTTTTTTTTTTTTTTTGTCTTTTTTTTTTTTTTTTTTTTTTTTTTTTTTTTTTTTTTTTTTTTTTTTTTTTTTTTTTTTTTTTTTTTTTTTTTTTTTTTTTTTTTTTTTTTTTTTTTTTTTTTTTTTTTTTTTTTTTTTTTTTTTTTTTTTTTTTTTTTTTTTTTTTTTTTTTTTTTTTTTTTTTTTTTTTTTTTTTTTTTTTTTTTTTTTTTTTTTTTTTTTTTTTTTTTTTTTTTTTTTTTTTTTTTTTTTTTTTTTTTTTTTTTTTTTTTTTTTTTTTTTTTTTTTTTTTTTTTTTTTTTTTTTTTTTTTTTTTTTTTTTTTTTTTTTTTTTTTTTTTTTTTTTTTTTTTTTTTTTTTTTTTTTTTTTTTTTTTTTTTTTTTTTTTTTTTTTTTTTTTTTTTTTTTTTTTTTTTTTTTTTTTTTTTTTTTTTTTTTTTTTTTTTTTTTTTTTTTTTTTTTTTTTTTTTTTTTTTTTTTTTTTTTTTTTTTTTTTTTTTTTTTTTTTTTTTTTTTTTTTTTTTTTGTTGTCTTTTTTTTTTTTTTTTTTTTTTTTTTTTTTTTTTTTTTTTTTTTTTTTTTTTTTTTTTTTTTTTTTTTTTTTTTTTTTTTTTTTTTTTTTTTTTTTTTTTTTTTTTTTTTTTTTTTTTTTTTTTTTTTTTTTTTTTTTTTTTGTTGTTATTTTTTTTTTTTTTTTTTTTTTTTTTTTTTTTTTTTTTTTTTTTTTTTTTTTTTTTTTTTTTTTTTTTTTTTTTTTTTTTTTTTTTTTTTTTTTTTTTTTTTTTTTTTTTTTTTTTTTTTTTTTTACAGCCTCGGATTTCATATAAGCTTCAAGTTTATCATCCAAGAAATCATTGACAAATTTTTCAAATGTATCCATTCTGTGAATTAAAAAAAAAGATTTACGTATTTTTTTTGGTTTCTCTTCTTTTTAAATCATGTTTATACTTTTGTCTTTTGGTGATGCACTATCAAACAAAGACGAAAAAGTACTGAAACATACAGCATTACCTCTGTTATGTGCTATTCACAAAAGATATTTGTTTTGGATACAATTAATTTTAAAAGTACACCATGGTTAACTTCACTAAATAGAGAAGATTATCAAAACCCTTTGGTTGTAAATTTTACATTACCCTTAAACCTACCCACAATATACAAACTTGTAGATGTAAATTTCTAAATTAAGGAAAACAGACAGTTTAATGTGTTCTGAATCAACTTTGGTATCAGAAATATACCCAAGGACTCAATGATTGTATGGCTTATAATTTACATTGCAAAGCTGAAATCTAGTTACTTACGAAAACTCTTCAGTCATGACAAATTTCTTTTCACGTGAATCCCTTGCATTTACTTGAACTGTCTTTCCATCTCCTTTCATTCCAAACTCTTCTAACTCCTGAGAAAATTCATCAGCATTGCTTACAGCAAAGAATACATCTTTACCTGCATCCTGTAACTTCTTTCCAACCTTCATCACCCTGAAAAAATATTTTTGTTCCCCCGGTAAGTATAAGATTGAAAATAATTTGCATGTATTGAATTAAATTAAAGAGAATAAATTCTTAAAAATTTGTTTTATGCATTCCTCTCAAAAACAAGATCTATGAACATTTTGTGAAGAGAGGATAATCTCTAGTTGTAAGGTGGCAATAATACCTTTTTTTTTTACCTTAAAGTTTTTGTTTTTGTCCTGTGACCTTGACTTTACTAATACAATTGCACAACTTTTAATGTGGGAGTATTTCCTAGTAAAATGATTCACCTGTTTCTCCAGTAGTTTGTTCCCTTAACATTTTTCACATAGTCAACATCGAAGTATGCAACAACAAGGGGTCTCCTTGAGAAAGAAGCTGCATTTGGTATGGTACGGTGACCGCAAAGGCCGAGTCTGAAAACAAATAATGGCATGATTAGTCTTTGGTTATTCAAGCAATCATTTTGTGGGCAATGTTCTCTAAGTGTCAAATGTATGTAAAATATCAGTTGATTATGTATATGAATATATGTATATAATGTTTTATAACCAATATAGATTTCCTGAAAATCACTTGCATTTTGGCAAATTATAACCTCAACAATATTTATAATAATGTTATACCTCTTCTGACCACAAAGAGTCCAACATTGTTTCCTATAATAATGGGGTAGTCCCATTTATCTACCTATCAAGAGGATTACACATCAAATCATTGGCTTCAAAAAGTCGAGTGGTTAACAACAATCATTCAAAAAAATATTTAATGGAATATAGAGTGTGGCAAATTAAATAGTAAAAGGGTTTTGCTTGGAAACTATAAATAAATTACATAAATGATCATAATGCTAGTGTCAGATTAATCCAACTAAAACATACAAATTGATTCCCAGGAAGTTTCGTAGATTGTCGGTTGTCAAAGCTTTATCAAACTTGATAGCTGCGTCTTCAAATTTGCTGTGAAGAGTTTTTGGCTGTAACAGGACAACCTCGCTGCAAAAAAAATGACAAACAGAATTCTTACATATAGCATTCAGAACACCAATAAACAAATCACTAATGCTTTTTCATCAAAGTTAAAAAAAAAAGTTCAAATAAATCTCATTAACAGAATAAGCTGACCATACTTTGATTTTATCAAGAATATCTTAACATGAATAGAATCTTAACATCAATAGAAGTCAAAAACCACCAAACCCACATGTTAAGATCGTACTCAATTTTTCACAGAGGATTTCAGTTTTCTATTCTATTAAGTATTTCATTATCCTTTTTCACACTGCTTATCTAAGAGTTCATTCTTTGTTTTCCCAGTGCCACATCTAATCAAAAGACTGTAAGCTTAACACTTACTCAGAATAACCATATTTATCCAGAACAGATTGTTCTGTTGTAAAAGCAAATCGAACTTCGCTGTTCAGAACATCAGCAGCTTTCTTGAATTTTTCCTGTTTTCCAGCATCTTTGAAGAATCCTAGAATCAGACATTATATGTAGTTAGCTCATGAAATCATGTTAGTCTTTGAAACAAGATTTAGTCCTAATCTTCATATCTTCAAACTCATTAAACATATAAGATCGATCATGATAATCCATCTATAAACATAATTTATCTTACAATATATAGGTTGTGGACTTTTTGAAAAAAATTTAAGAATCACAACATAGTATACATGTACATCAGTAATAAAGACATATCCAGTACTAATTACTTAATGCATCAATCATATCTATCAATAATGTATTATAAAAAACCAGTGACTAGAATATTTCCGGTTTATTCACCAGATCTAAATGGTCTACAGTGGGGTCTTACCAACTAAAGCATACTCTGCAACTGCGAGATATTTTTCTGCTGTTTCAACATCAGTCAGCTCCTTGGCAGATGGTCCACCTTCTTTCTTCATATATTTCACGATGCCAGCTGTAATCAAATAAACAAGTATCTGAAAATCATTCATTCGTTTACAAGCTGAATATTTTTACAAAATACATATAGGCAAGTTTTTTCAGCAGTACAACTAAATATTATTTTTCACAATTCCCTACTGAGGTTGTGACCTTGAAAATGAGATAAGATTATATAAATAATGCTAACTTCACTTTCTTCAGGCATCATGCATATCATGACATTTAAGATGTTTGAATTGACTTGATATATAATCCATCATCCCAGAATTTTGTTGTCAAATCATGTTATTCAAGATCTCTTGATCAAACATATAAGTAAATTTTACAAGTATGGATAAGACATTGATAACGGATCAAAATAATTCATATTTTTTGTTTCTTTTATTTGGAAAACTTATTATCCTTTTTATTTACTCTTGGAGTTCTAAAAGCTAATATTGAATCATGATATACCTTATTGAAAACCAAATGTTTTGGTTTGTCATCAGTCAGGTGGTTGTAACTATGGAACATTCTCTTTTGGATTAAACATAATGATACATTCTCTACAAATAATATGTCTAGATAAGTAGCCATTATATGACGAGTCTTCATACCTTCATCTCGTCCTCCATCATAGTCTTTAGAGAACACTCCTCCACGAAAGATTTTTAGGGTAGGATAACCACTGACGGAAAACTTGGAACAAGTATCAGTATTGGCAGTACAGTCCACCTGCAATGAAATGATTGACATTCCATTTTTAATTCACAATATTTACATTAAATATTGAAATTGACACTATGACCTTTGTTATGCTCAATATCATCATACATAAATAATGATGGTCTGGCTTGGTTGCTTTGCTATCAAAAAGACAAACAATGGACTGTTTCAAAAATGTAGTTTTGAGTCCAGCAAACTGAATGTTTTTTCATTACCGGTATTTTTGTGTCTGAGTTTTTAAGTTCATCAATTAAATTCTTTGCATAACAACAAATTGTACTTCTCTTTAATCATAATTCCTTTATTTTCTTAAACATTTCTATTAAAAAATATTTTCTTACTGGATAAATATATACCAAAAGATATATTTTTTCACCTTAGCCAGAGCCAGTGGAGGGTCATTCTTCTTCAAAGCGGTAGCAGCCTTCTCATACTCGGGTGCCAATTTTTTGCAATGCCCACACCTGTAAAAAGAAGCAAGTGTTATAGCAGCCTTCTCATACTTTGATGCCAATTTTTTTACAATGCTGTTACCTGTACAGAGAAACAACAAAATGGTAGCAGCCTTTTTATGCTCCTGTGCAATTTTTTGCTTTATTTTTCTTCACATAATGCACACAGAATCTTCCCTACTAATGTCTCGGCAAAGCCAAATCTCATTTGACATTGGTTTGGACTGAACTAGTCGTGACAAGCAAGAATCTCCCTAAACTATATACTCCCTATATTTGGTAGGTCATCTGTCTACAGTGATGGGTTGCCGGGCAGAAGAGAATTAAGGATGAACTCTTCATTAGCTCGATCATTTGGTAGAACACCAGACTGAAGGTGGCTATGGAGAATTTGTCTTTAGTTTTAATGGACAAGGCTTTGGGAAAAACAGTAGCTGCTAGGATAGATGGCTCTAATGAGCACATTCGGCAGAGCACACCACAGTAGTGATCAGTTTGAGATCATCTCTCTGAAACTCTGAAAGCGGTGGTAATTTGCATTAAGTGTTTTCATCACTTATGTACCTTCTTCTCTCCGACCCTTTCTCTTTCCTTTCAGTTGGTCACGGCCCTTTCATAACAGGATCAACATATATTACTCACGTAATTATGGACTTTGTTCACGAACACAACAACTAAATGTATTAAATGATTGTGAGAGTATTCAACGCTTGTTGTAATTTAGTAACTGCATAAGTGTATGAAACGATAAACTTAACAGAACACATCGGTTGCCTGTAAAAATGGATCAGGAAGCAATTATATATACTCACCATGGAGCAAAAAACTCGACTAAAATAACATCATGTTGTACAATTTTGCTTTCAAAGTTACTGTCATCAAAGTCAAGTACATCGCTGCCATAGGCAAGCGATGCCAACAAAAGTAGCACAGCAAATCTCAACATTTCGTCTATCTTCTCTCCCGTGTTATCGGAGTGTGTATCTTTCGATGCCGGTAAACACAACGTGGAATGAGTTCATGCGCTGGCGGAACGTGATTGGTCCACATGTACGATTTTCCAACGAAGAAAACCGAAAATGACCGAGATTGCCGGAAATGACTAGCCCATTTATATATCTGTTTGTCCTGACACGCCGGCATATTGATAATTTTGTTTTAAATAGTAATTTTTGATGTCTTGATTTTACTGGTGAAATTTAAACGTCTTAATTATACTTTAAATGCAGACTGGCTACCAGACCCTAAATATAAAAGTTTGTTAAGAAATATCCCTGCTTAGGCTTTGTTTACATTATCTCCCTTTCTTTTGAGATCAGGGCCCGTATTCATGACACCATTCTCATGCTCAAACATAGATTTTGTGCTCAAGCAAACTTTTTTTATAATTCATCTAGATAATATGAGCACAAAAGTCATGCTGGAGCATGAGAACGGTTCATGAATACGCGCCCACATCTACTATTTTATTAATTAAATATTCTGAAGGCAGGACCGAGTCTATTTTTACAGGATGAGAAACTTTTAAAATTATTACAGGTACATAGTACCAGAGACGTATATAACGTATATATACGTCATTGATAGTACGCACACAGACATCCTACATATCACATATAGGTGATCTGTTCAGTACTGAAACAACTAAATAACTTCTTATAGATATATATTGTCACAGCTGTCTGTTTAGTACTTCAACAACTTAATAATCTCTTCTAGATATATATTGTCACAGCTGTTACCCGTTTCATATAAAGGATTTTAAAATGATTTTATATCTAATTTGAAATGAAAGCAAACCAAAGACACTTTTTATCACAGAAAGGTCAAGTTTTTGACAAGTTTAAAGTACGCCATTTGAAACATTTCTGTCGATAACATGGAACCATCACGTGGAGAAATAGTCTCGTTCAACTAATTAATATTCATGAGATAATAATGGCGTTAAAATATTTGGGACATCATCAAAACTTGAAAACTGCGGCAACCAAGTAAACAAGGGATAGGAGAAGTTACATATAGATTTTTCTTTGATTTTGAATCTGTATCCAATATTTTATGTAGAGGCAAAACAAAACATAATTTCTTTTTATGTGAAAACTTATATCAATGCAGCTTAATGCATGTACATACTTTCTAAATGCTATTTAATCGAAAATTGCATTTGTTGGCATTCAAAATAAATTCGTCAGATACACTATTATTCACATGTTGAATTTACAATAACTTACAAGCGCCCTGATGACCGTTAAAACTGGAAATATCAACCACAAAATATTGTTTTAAAGGGAAATAAAAGAAATAAATGAACCATAACTAAGGAAATAAATAGATAAATAATTAAATAAATACCCCCTAAAAAAAAAAAAAAAAAAAAAAAAAAAAAAAAAAAAAAAAAAAAAAAAAAAACAAAAAAAAAAAAACAAATCAACGAACAAACAGTACAAACAATCTGTAAACGTTACAACGTTTTAAAGTTATATTTTTATTTCAGAACTGATTATTTAATGATTATAAAATTCTACGTCATGATAAAATCTAACAGACATGTTTCTATGCATTTCATGATGCAGTATCATCCTGACTTGCGTAGCCAATGAAAACGCTCCATTGTATAGTGATATTACAATATTACAAAAATACTCAATCTAAAGTGACGTAATCAGTGAATGACAGTTATGATAAAACTTTAACTTATATGCTTTATTTCCCGTTGATCAGTTAGCGAACCAAGGGAAATTAGGAGAACACATTTTAGAAAATGTGATATTTAATTGGTATCTAAAAAGTAGGAAGCATAAGGGTAGGGACGAGATTTAACGCGACGAAATTATTTTAACCATTTAAAAATGAATACACACGATGGGTTCTAGTGGATTTACAAAACAAAGTTTTTGAACTTTACCAACTTGTCCATGTTCAACTATCCACCTTTTGACGTCAAGAGGACATTTTCATGCACGTTTACCAACACTGTCTTTGTGTTGTCTCCCTTCCTCTGTTTGTTTATGCAGGATAATCTTGATGATTTCATTGATTTACTGTTTAACAGTATGGGAGGTGGTTTGGTTGCTTCATGGCTGATGCTTGTTTGATTGTTTTGACAATTTTAATGCTTTTTGGTTGAAGATACTTCCTTTATCTAGTCAACTCTCAACTTTATAGTAAATCAGCTGTTGTTAGATCCTGATTTTGAAGGCTTTCCGTTTTATTCGACAGTCTTCACTTCGGCTTTGGACACCTCTCCTTTTATCAGTTTTTATTTCATGCTAGTCAGAAGTGTATCTGGCGGTGTATGCCTCGTTTGTCAGACCTACCTTGGTTACTTCTTTCTCGTGTTGATCTCAAGTGACTTTTGTGGCTTCCGACTCCGGATTATCACATTTGATTCTTGTTACCGGATTCCATTCGTTTTGATAGCTTCATCTTCAAGCCGATCTCGGTTTACTTTGATGACTTCCACCTGTTGTTTATCTTTATCGACTTTCGAGAGTGTTTTCTCTTTCAGATCACAAGTGGCATTGGTAACTTCCATATTTGGCCTACCCGACTTGATTTTCAAGCTTTTTCTTCTTTCTTCGAACTCTGGTTGATCAAATTTGACCTCTGTATTTTCCGACTCATGCTGATCAAACTTGTCATTTGTGGCTCCCACCTCCTCCTCAGACAAGACTTCAGTGTCGTCCACATCTTCCACATCGTTCTTAAATAATTCGCAGCTTGGAGTCTGAAATGAAAACAAAACATACGCCAGCTTTCTACGATCCTGATGTTAAGCACTTCAAATTGTAGATAACGGGTATGTTATCGTGTCTGCAGATATGGCGTCCAATAACTGGATACTTAACTGCAAACATCATTACATTTCATGGATACAAAAAGAACTAGACTTTCTTGATTCCAAAGGGACCCCTACCTTTACATTATAAAATCCTTTAAAAGACGAAATACTGGCAAATCATGCTCTGATGTTACAATTATTCAGATTGCCTTTTAATGAATAGGTTACGGACCTGCCCCGTTTATATTGAATTCCTAAACTTCGAAAGAATCCATGTAAACAGCGTTCAATTGATGGCTAATCTAGCTGTTAAACCAAGCCTTTATCAAAACTACCAACCTCTGTTCTTAGTAATATCAAATCTAGGTTACAGTCTTACTGTGATACTGTTTACTCAAGAAGTAGAATTAATAGTATTTGACTTATAAAGATCTCCAAAGAGCCTTTGACCGATCACTAGCGCTCTCTCCAAGAAAATTTCTTCTGTAAGCGATTTTTACACAATATGCACCACTATTCTAAACTGAAAGAACGACTTCGTTCTCTTCGGTGTTATGAGAGCTTTCTTCTCCAAGAAAGGTGAACGGCTGTGCAAATACATGGTTGTGAACTATGTTGAAGCGTATTTCGTAATGTATACGTCCAAGTCAAAGAAGAAATACATGGAGAACAAATAAATAAAATGTGTTTCTGGTTGACAACATCTTCGAGTTTGGTAAGCTCTTTCAACAGACTATTGGTATACTATTGGATAGTAATTGTGCCCCTCTGTTGGCTGACTTGTTTTTGTTTTCATATGAGGCCTAGTTGATCAAAGTCGTTTAGTTTCAATTTCAGCTATATTGATGACGTCTTGTCTTTAAATAAGAAGAAATTTATTGACTTCGGCGATCGTATATATCCACCAGAACTGGAAATCAAAGATATGACAGATTCGACATTAGCAGCTTATTTCGAACCAACATGGACAGCTTTCCATTAAGCTGTCTAATAAGCGTTATGATTTCAATTTTCCTATTTTGAATTTTCATTCCCTGGATAGCAACAACCCTGCATCCCCAGCCTATGGTGTTTGTATGTCACAGTTGATTCGATATTCAAAGGGTTGTTCCCATTATCACAGTCTCCTTGCAAGAAGTCGTTAACTGACTGACAAATTTGTAACGCAGGGATTCAAAAGATGCAGGTTGATGAAAATTATGGGGAATGTTTACGGTCGTCATGGTTACCTCATTGAGAAATATTCTATTTCTTTGTGCGATGAGTTTGGATTATGATTATGATGGCATGCTGGTATTTTCTTGTTTTTTTTTTCTTATTTCATAATTAAAATTGATATTACCACTTAAATTTGATATTACATATTTGATGGCATGTCAGATTTGACTATTTGTTGTGTGCCCGATTAACTCCTTCAAATATTATTAATTATGATTGCTCAGATATAATAGGCTCTAGTTGATTTTTAAAAATGATCTCAATCTACTTGGGTGTTAGGTCAGTCAAACTGCCTTGTAAGTATGTTCATGCTGTAGAATGTTTCCCGGTTCATTAACTATATAGATAAAGTGAAAATAAAATGTTCGAGACTGGTGTTGCATATCTAACAAATGATGAATAACTGTCTATGTATCAACACAGAACTTATCTCACCTGATTGCTTCATAAAGAAAACAAAGTGTAGATTCTAGATATTGTTATGACTTGTTACCGTGGTATATATCTGTATCAATTGACGTTTTTAACGTTCATACTTTAAAATCATTTTCCAACGTTTGCGATTTACTGACAGTTAGCATGTGTTGCAAATATAAATTCATCAATTGTACCGACTCTCAGCAAATAGGGAATGACAAAATATATTCATATAGCGTGCCCGACCTCTTCGAAAGAACGCCTCACGGATGTACGATTCGCTCGCCGTGCACCCACTTTGTCACCTTGCTAATTTGAGGAGATTACCGGAGATTACAGACATTACCTCCAAATGCCCATTTCTAAATGTTCTCTCTAGCCTTTCCAGCACTGTTATCATACAAACAAACCCTATACATACATATTACTAGATACCTGTCGTCATTCAAAGACGACTATGGAAAATATACCATGTACACCACAAATCATCTTGATTTTGCTAAAAAAAAAGTTTTTTTTTTTAAATGCGGAGGCAAACATTTAACTGTGAAAAATTTAAACATAGTG